GAAAAAAAAAATGAAAAAATGTTTCATATTTTTTTTCTTTTTTGTTACATTTTTTTTTCTTTTTTTATGACTGTACACTGTATTATTCTGGGGAAGTGATCAGGATTTTTTTCCCACACATTATGATTGCTTATAGCAGTGAATTTCACTGCTATAGGCATTTTTACTGAATAAAAATTGATTCATTCTGTGTGTTTTGGTGTAATTGGCCACAGCTAATCACACGGTACAGATGGGCTGTGATTGGCCCTATCTGTATCATGTGATCACTGTGACCAATCACAACTAGCAACACAAATGTACACAATGAATGGCATAAAATCAAAGCCATTCATTTTTCACAATTGTCATGTGATCTGCTGTGATTGGTCCGAGCCGGTTCAGTGGTCTGTCTTTGGCAGTGTCTGGTGGATTACAGCTGGTGACAGGATGTGCCTGCAACGTAAAAAGGCCAGACGGGAGTTGTTAAAGTAACACTTAAAGCGGAGCTCCACACAAAAAGGGGAAGTTTCGCTTTAAGGACTGCTCCCCAGCTCCCCATTAAGGATTGGCACCTTTGGGGCGCGGGGGGGAGCGGGTACCCGAATTTGACAGGTACCGGCTCCCAATTGCAGTCGGACCGCCTAGGCCAGTGGTCGGCAAGCCGCGGCTCGCGAGCCACATGCGGGCTGTTTTACCCACTTAATGCGGCTCTTCTGTGTGCCGGGCGCCTGCTCCCTCCCTCTTCCTCTCGGTCGGCCGCTCCCCTGCCTCCTCTCGGTTGGCAGCCCCAAAAGTTCTCCGCGCGGACCTTTTAATCCGGCCCCGCGGATGTGGCTGTCAGGATGTGTGTAGGCGGGGCAGCGTGCCCGAAACGTGAGGGGAGGGGAGCTTAGGCTCCTCTCACAGTCCGCCCTGAAGACCCCGAACGGCGCGGGGGGAGACAGCGCGAGAGGAACGCAAAAGGTAAGTGAATTGACACGGGGGACTTGGCTTACTAGAAGGGGGGGGGGATAGTACTGTGGGGGGTGAAATACTATATGAGGGATGAATTACTTTATGAGGGATGAATTACTATTATGGGGGGATGAAATACTATATGAGGGATGAAATACTATATGAGGGATGAATTACTATATGAGGGATGAAATACTATATGGGGGGATGAAATACTATATGAGGGATGAATTACTTTATGGGGGATGAATTACTATATGGGGGATGAATTACTATATGAGGGATGAATTACTATATGAGGGATGAAATACTATATGAGGGATGAATTACTATATGGGGGGATGAAAATACTATATGAGGGATGAAATACTATATGAGGGATGAAATACTATATGAGGGATGAAATACTATTTATGAGGGATGAATTACTATATGAGGGATGAAATACTATATGAGGGATGAATTACTATATGGGGGATGAAATACTATATGGGGGATGAAATACTATATGAGGGATGAAATACTATATGAGGGATGAAATACTATACGGGGGATGAAATACTATACGAGGGATGAAATACTATACGGGGGATGAATTGCTATGGGGGATGAATTACTATATGGGGGGATGAATTACTATATGGGGGATGAATTACTATATGGAGGATGAATTACTATATGGGGGGATGAATTACGATGGGGGATGAATTACGATGGGGGATGAATTTACTATTATGGGGGATGAATTACTATGGGGGATGAAATTACACTATGGGGGGTGAATTACTATATGGGGGATGAATTACTATGGGGGATGAATTACTATATGGGAGATGTATTTTCAGTTTTAAAAATGTGGCTCTCAAAATAAATTTCAATCATGGTTTTGGCGAGAGATTTGGCCCTCAGTTGAAAAAAAAAAGGTTTGCCCCCCACTGGCCTAGGCGATCGGAAAGGTGTCCTCCCTCCTTCCCTCCCGTAGTCTTCTGGGACACGTGACAAGTCCCAGAAGACTACAGGACCATTCATGAAGCGCAGCGCTACTCGCTCGCGCATGCGCAGTGAGTACCCGGCTGTGAATCCGCAAGCAGTCACAGCCGGGTGACCACACTGAAGATGCCAGCCTCCAGGAATCCAGGACAACTGGTGAAACGGGCTGCAGGGGACACACCATGGGACCAAGGGACAGGTAAGTGGCTGTTTTTTAAAAGTCAGCAGCTACAGTTTTTGTAGATGCTGACTTTTATTTTTTAACAGGATGAGTGGAACTCCGCTTTAACTCTGGTTTAAAAACAAAAAAATTCTATTCAAGTATGTATTCTTATCTTTTAAAAAGTCAGTCTATTGCTCTCAGCCTCCTCCAAATCTCTAAATGCATGTATTTATTTATTTTTTGCTGTTATCCAACTTCCTGTAGGAGGGTGGCTATGTTCATTCTTCATTGTCCTTACTGTATATAGGAAACAGCGCAGCTCCCTCTCTTGCTATTAACACCTGAGATGGACTATGGGATTTGTAGTGTGCAATACAGTCATGGCCGAAATTGTTGGCACCCTTGATATTTCTCCAGGAAATCATGTATTTCTCACGAAACGTATTGCATTAACACAATGTTTTGCTATACACATGTTTATTCCCTTTGTGTGTATTGGGATTGGGGACAACAAACAAAAAAAGGGAGGAAAGAAAGGAAAGCAAATTCGACATAATGTCACACAAACTCCAAAAATGGGGCTGGACAAAAGTATTGGCACCCTTTCACAACTGCGGATGAAATAAGAATGTTACAAGCATGTGATGCTCCTGTAAAACTCACCTGGGGCAAGTAACAGGTGTGGGCAATATAGAAATCACACCTGAAAAGCAGATAAAAAGGAGAGACGTTCACTTAACCTTTGCATTGTGTGTCTGTCTGTGCCACACACTAAGCATGGACACAGAAAGAGGAGACGAGAAACTGTCTGAGGACCTGAGAACCAAAATTGTGGCAAAATATCAACAATCTCAAGGTTACAAGTCCATCTCCAGAGAACTAGATTTGCCTTTGTCCACAGTGCGCAACATTATCAAGAAGTTTGCAACCCATGGCACTGTAGCTAATCTCCCTGGTCGTGGACGGATGAGGAAAATTGATGAAAGATTGCAACGCAGAATAGTCCGGATGGTGGATAAGCAGCCCCAAACATGTTCCAAAGACATTCAAGCTGCTCCTGCAGGCTCAGGGAGCATCAGTGTCAGCGCGAACTATCCGTCGACATTTAAATGAAATGAAACGCTATGGCAGGGAGACCCAGGAGGACCCCACTGCTGACACAGAGACATAAAAAAAGCAAGACTACAGTTTGCCAAAATGTACTTGAGTAAGCCAAAAGCCTTCTGGGAAAACGTCTTGTGGACAGATGAGACCAAGATAGAGCTTTTCGGTTAAAGCACATCATTCTACTGTTTACCGAAAACGGAATGAGGCCTACAAAGAACAAAAACACAGTACCTACGGTAAAATATGGTGGAGGTTCAATGATGTTTTGGGGTTGTTTTGCTGCCTCTGGCACTGGGTGCCTTGACTGTGTGCAAGGCATCATGAAATCTGAGGATTACCAAAGGATTTTGGGTCGCACTGTAGGGCCCAGTGTCAGAAAGCTGGGTTTGCGTCCAAGATCCTGGGTCTTCCAGCAGGACAATGACCCCAAACATACGTCAAAAAGCACTCAGAAATGGATGGCAAAGAAGCGCTGGAGAGTTCTGAAGTGGCCAGCAATGAGCCCAGATCTAAATCCCATTGAACACCTGTGGAGAGATCTTAAAATTGCTGTTGGGAAAAGGTGATTGTCCTTCCAATAAGAGAGACCTGGAGCTGTTTGCAAAGGAAGAGTGGTCCAAAATTCCGGGTGAGAGGTGTCAGAAGCTTATTGATGGTTATAGGAAGCGACTGATTTCAGTTATGTTTTCCAAAGGGTGTGCAACCAAATATTAAGTTAAGGGTGCCAATACTTTTGTCCAGCCCATTTTTGGGGTTTTGTGTGACATTATGTCATATTTGCTTTTCTGCCTCTGTTTTTATATTTGTTCCCAATACATACAAAGGGAATAAACATGTGTTATAGCAAAACATGTGTTAATGCAATACCTTTTTTGTGTGAAAATACTTGATTTTCAGGAAAAATATCAAGGGTGCCAACAATTTCGGCCATGACTGTAGATGTAAAAATGACTACAATTAATGTGCACTGCTTGTTCCAAACAAAAGGAAACGAGAGGGAAAAAGTAGAGTTTGGGAGCTCATGGAGGATGTTATAGGGAGGCAGAAAAACACAATAAAAAAAAATTTCATGAGACCAACAAGGCCACCCATGGCTCAGATTTTAGCTGTTCACCAGGGACTGGCTGAAATTTGCTCAGTGTACAACATGTTATTACCAGAGTACCCTGTTATCCCAAAAAGGTCAACTTCTCTATCATGGAAACAGAGACCAGAACTTTAATGCTATTGCTTGGTTCTGCCTATTCCTCTTGTTTCAATTGTGGTATGAGGCCCACAAATCACACTCTGAGAACCATTACATGGTGAAGGGTATGTGAAGGAACAAGCCACAATGAGCCAATGCGAGTTCTGGAGGTGCCTTATGTATCGTGTATTTTCAGTGATAGCATTACTGTTATCTCTTTAAATGGGGTAAAGCTATTCATTGTATCCACTTGTTTTAGTTTTGTAAGGTGCCAGGAAATTGTATTGACTCTGTGTACATTTCGATCACAGTCACCTGACAGTTCGAAGTAATATATGTACCCCCTCTACTATCTAACACCCCACAAATAACATATATACAAACTCTTACTATATCGATGTCAACTACATATTTTTCAATATTTCACTATGACATACAGTATAATGCAGAGTGCTGCTTTTCTATACGGAGAGTAGATCTGGGGACTCTATGAGACAGGGCCACCAGAGGTCCACAGGGATAAATGTAGCTAGCGGACTAACCTTTTAATTTTGCACGGTATACAAAAAAAACTTGTTGTGATAATCCCTTTATTGTACATATTTTCAAGATCCTTACTGGTTGTGAACACTTTATTGTACTTCAGTCCATGAATCTGCACAAATTTCTCAGACAGAAGAAAAACTGGGCGTTGAACCAGGATGAACTTGTTGTTGCCAACCTCTAATTTGTGTCTTGATAGAGTAAAAGTTCCCAGTCCAGGTATCTTCACCCCCTAAAATATATAATCAGCAAAGTGAAAAAGAAACATTAATTCTTCAAGCACTTCTCAGGCTTTAAGTGGTTTAAAGCTGGACCCTCAGGTTAGATCCAGATTATACAATCCCCTTTAAATTTATCAAAAACAATAAAATACCTTTGCGTCCTGCAGGGTCCCTCAGCACATTCTGCACATGCATGGGTGATTTCTCACGCATGCGTAAAGACGGTGCACTCTCCTGACTTCCCTAATAGGCATCTTTGCACGTGTAAGGAAAACCCCTTGCATGCGCATATAGTTTGGAGAAACCCATGCATATGCAGATGTGCCGCAGGCTCGCTTGGGACCCAAAGCCCTGCAGCACATTTGCAAACGTACACGGGGATGGGAATATAGTTCTCACCTATGTGAGAAGTAAGGAGGTGCTTTTTGCAGCACAAATAAATGTCCCAAGTTATAAAAAAAAAAAAGTTCTGTCTAACTGTAAGAGAGGGAGGGTGGAGGAGGCAGGCCAAAATGACATACTAAGGGTAAAGCCTACAGTCTGCATTTAATCAATGTGTCATAACTGACATAGTGATCACGTGATCAGGAAACACTGTGATTGGTTCCTGAACATCAGCGGGGATGGAGCTGTCAGTAGCACCTGTAATTAAGAGTCAGCAGCCATGCAAAGTGTCAGCTGCTGACTCACAAAGGGGGAGTTAAAATGATTGTAAACCCTTACATATACTCAGCAAAGCTACTAGCCTCAGGCGATACACAGAGATGAAACAAATCCTCCTACATCAGTTGTATCTACTGTATTATCTGCAGTCTTCTCTTCTCTACAGCCATTCAAAGTCCAGAATTTATATGGCTTTTCTGAGCTTTCAGAAAGCAGGGGAAGGGAGCTGCGTGAGAGCTCCATGAGAGCTGATTGAAGGTAAAAGACCTTCACACAGCACACAGAAACAAAGCTGAGGCTGTAAAATCACAGACTGTGTGATGGAGGTCCCTCCCCGTCACCTTTTTTTCTCTTGGTGTCAGAAAAATGTATCAGAAATGACTTACAGATAGCAGAGGAATGAGGCAAAAGACAGAAACGACACTTAGTGCTCTGGATTGAGACAAGTACACACTATAGAGGGATATGCTTTGTTCATATTTCATGTCTGAGGTTTACAACAACCACTTTAATGTTCACCAACAAAGGGCTGTGAAACTTTAATAAACAGATTATGGATGGGAAGTGGGTCATAAAATCACTAGTCTGTCAAAATAGTTACAGCAATTACACGTTACCTTTTGTTGAGACATTTGATGTTCAATGAACTCGGCAACACAAGCCCATATAGTGGACACATCTAAAACATGGACAAAGACATCATTAGAAACACAGGAAAATAAGTTTTTCTGGCTCTTGTTATAAATATATTATATATATATATGATTTTTTTTTTTTAAAACATTTGTATTAAGAAATCGTAAGAGAGAAAGTTACATACATGATATACAAAGCTCTCAAAACACACTCTGAGCATAAAGCTTCGTAAAGAAAAATCATATATATTTTAATGAAAAAATATCTACAGACATGCATTATACAGAGGTCTACTGCTTTTGAATGCGTACATACATATTTTCCAGTATACCAAGATTCAAATAAAACACTTTAATGGACCACTATAAAACATTATAATGTGGGCCACAACATTATAATGGGCCACTACTTACAGCATTATAATGGACTACAACATTATAAGGCACTATTATAGTAGTAAACAATATTGTATTCTTCTAACTGTATGGGGTTAATACCTGTAATGATAGTAATGATAGTGTTCAGTATATGAGTTCCTTTTTTTTTTTTTTCCAAACACTGGCATGTGATAATATACTGTTTTATCTCCAATAGCGCCTGTAAGTGCACCTTGGATTATTCATCCTTCCTACACTACGATTTTTTTAATCTGTGTGCTGGAGGAGAGGAAAAGAGGAATGACATATTAGAAGCTAGACTGGTCTGGGAGCAGTCATAATTAGTGGACATGGGTCCCTTTGGATAGCACAGGAAGTCCCCCAACAGGGGAATGCACACCCTTGGAAAACCCTTGCTAAATATTATCACACTGTTTAAATACTCAACACCTCATTCACAGCAGGAACCATAAGTATATTTTCTAGAAGGCTGAGGGACATTATATATTAGAACTAAGTACATGGAGCACAGAGAGGCAGCTATAGGTGCAGCTGACCTACTTTTAAAGGTTCACGTGACTGCAGCCTATATATTATTTGCACAAATATTCAGGTTGCTGAATATGTGCTTTTAACCATAATTTTAATTTGTTTTACATTTATTAAATAAAAAAATGATTTCTGTACTCACTGTAGAATCCTTCTCTGCTAGATTCAATTGAGGGACAAAGGAAGCCTTTTAACCTGACGACCTGCTGGAAGATTAGACACTGGTAAACAAAAAAACTGTAGGTCCGCTCAGGAGAATACTGATTCTGTTTTTCAGCAAAGCAGTACTGAGAACATGATCATAAAAACAGATGGATGGGACTTGTGTCCCTTAATGGACTCCAAGAAAAAGATTTTGCAGAGTACAAAAATCCTATTTTCTTTCTTCTCCATTGGGGACACAGAGACACAGAAAAAGTCTTTAATCTTTGAAATGTCAAAAAGCAGTTCAGTTAAGGGGTGGGGCAACACAGCGATTGCTAACACATGAACAGAAGACCATATGGCAGCTTTGCAAATCTGGATAGCTCAAGAAACACTTACAGATCTAGTAGTGTGCACCTTTACAGTAAAGGGTGGAACCCGATCCTTGAACACAAAAGCTTGGATGATGGTCTGTCTGCACCACCAAGAGATGGTGGAACGAGAAGCCAAATCATCCTTTTAAGGTCCATCTGGGATAAAAAACCAGGAATCTTTCTGCAAGAAGCAGTGGCTGAGAGATAGACTCTAATAGGCCGAACCACATCTAAACATAAGAGGGAAATATCATTTTGGTGATCTGGACAGAGGGATGAAAGTCTTGGACCTCAGCACCACCTTGACCCTAAGCAAAACAGAAAGCGTCCTTTTGCAGGATAAGGCTGCCAGTTTAGTCACCTAGAGGTGAGGGCTACAAGAAATAACACCATGTAGGTGGGAGTAGAGACAGGAATTTTTCTAATGGATTCAGACAGCAGTTTCTAAAGCACAGAGGAAATTAGATTTAGGTCCCACTGAGTCACAGAACAACTAATGGTGGGAGCTACACCCCCTGTACAAATGTCTTAATCAGGGATCAGAGAGTGAGAAGACAGCAGTCTCTGAAAACAGGACAGAAAACTTGACCCTTGCTGAGAGAAAAACGCTTATACAGACCCAACTGCAGGAAGGAAAGGATTTATCCCACAGAGAAACCCCTGGGGTGGAATCATCAAGACTCTCACACCAAGTGAAGTTTGCTTTCTGTGTCCAATGATAGACCTTGCAGGAAGTAGACTTTTTACTTCTTAGCATCATAGGAATCACAGACTTGGAGTTCTTCCGAACTTGAGCTTCAACAATCATGTTCTTAAAGCCAGTGACCATAAAGCAGGATAGCAAACCAGTTTTTGGGACAGAAGACCCGGCATGGAGAATCTGAGGAGTCAGCGTGCCATATCTAGCTAGACCAGTCCAGAGCCGTGAGGATCACTGGTATATCCTCTGTACTGATCTTGCTACAACCATAATCACGCCTTCCAGAGACTACACCTCCTTAACCCATTTCACCGCGAAAGGCTTGATCACAAAGTTAATCTGCAGCAAGGCTGTGAGCCTGACAATGCCTCACTATCAAGTTCGTTGTTGAATCTGAAAGCCATGGGTTTTACGTCCAGTGTCCCCCACAGGTGTGACACAGGTCCCAGAACACCACCAGGTGAAGGAACCTTTCCCAGGGTCATGGCGCTGCCGGCTGAGGAAGTTGGCCTGCCAATTGTCTATGCCTGGAATGTACACAGTTGACAGGGCTTGGACATAAAGTTCTGCCCGGGCAAGATCCACTCTACCTCTCTTGTTACAGCAAGACTTGCCATGGTGAGGAATTATCAAGTCCCTCCCTAATGACTGATGTACACCACTGCTGTGGCTGTGTCCAATTGAATACGGTTCAGATGACCCTCCAGTAGGATGGGCCAATGCTTCAAATACAGTCAAACCACCCCAAAGCTTCAGTACTTTATTTAGGAGATGGGACTCCTCCAAGGACCGGGTCCTTTCCACCCTCAGCGTAACGTTCAGGCATCCATCATTAGGATCCTCCAAAAGATGGCAAGGAAGGACCTCCCTGACTCCAGGGCTAGATTCCTGAGCCACCATGCCAGGGACATCTTGGTCCTTGATGAATTATATAAGTTATATGAATTTATGTGTTTACAGGATATTATTTGTTAAGTACCTATCAATTTCTTTTAAGTGTACAGAACATCCTTAACACTTATGAGGCGAGAGAGAGAAATTACACGAAAAGAATATTGCAATCCCAGCTAAATTGCATCTTAATCGCATTGGAGGTGTTCAGTTACACTGGAAAACTGAAGAAACTCACATGGCTTCAGTGTGAACCTAGACTTAAAGGTAAGCGTTCTAATAATCAGTCAAAATATTTTCCCTTCCTATAACAAGATCCATCTATGTTACACATGAAAAAAGATGAAAGGGAATTAGCTCATCATTTACAGAACAGGTCTACTTTACATGTGCTTCTGAGAACAATACTAGCATGTCGAACAATGACAGTTAATGGACTTAATTATAAAGTGTTACATTTCTCCCTACTAAATCTTTTACATATACATGGTCTCTTGATTACCAGGTAAAACAATATGGTGATTCTTAGGACAATGCTCGTGTTTCTTACACTGAAACAAGTCAGCAGCCTGTGAAGTGTAGTGCTATGTGGAGAAACAAAGCAGAAAAGAACCACCAATTAGAGTCTATTCACACTTGTGCATTGGGGCATGGCAACACACCTGCCCTATATCAGGTGCATTGCAGTGTCATTCAGTGGTAAGGGTGTCCTAGTGCATGGCATCAGCGTGTAAACGCACAACACACTGTAGCACACCATATTGCTCATGGTGGCCAGACTCAGCCCACAAGAGCTCCTGAGCCAATCTCCATATAGATCACATCTTGGTACATATAGAATGCAAATGCACTGGACACTGTATATAACTGACTCAGTTTCTATGTCAGCTGCAGTACAGCCAAAACATCCACAAGGAAGCAACCAATCAAATACTTTAAATCAAGTTATATGTTATTTTTCCATTAGAGTTGTTTTAACCCAGTGGTTATTAACCTTTTTGAGTGAAGGACCCCTTTAAGAATCTGATTAAATCTATGGACCCCCTCCCCAAAAAACAAAATTAAATGGAAAACATGGGCCAACAAGAAGTCAAAAGACCCTTAGCAGTCGTGCTAAAAGCAGCGGCGGGGTGCGTTTTCTTTCATTTCTATCAATGGGAAATCACTGAATCAAAGGAGGGGGAGAGCTGTATAGTGAATGTAAATGTTATTTTTTATCTGATCCTCATAACCATGGACCACTTAAGGGTCCATGGATCCCAGGTTACCCCTGTTTTAACCAAAAATTGCAACTTTTGAAGGTGTTTACTTCCCTAGAAACAGTGAGCTTCTCTTGGCTTATGGTGTCCATTTATTGATATTTTCCAAGTGGAGAGTGCCAAAAAAAAAAGCCTCTGTCAACGTCTTTAGCATTCAACACTCAGACTTGTCAGATGCTCGTGTCCCCTACCACGCTTTGTGGATCCTCCCTCCGCCCATATATTACTAGAAAATTGACATAGGGGTCAGAGGATGAAACCAGAATGCACAGTAGGGGACACAGACATGTGACACTCCCAGAAGTATCGAATTATGAAGACAATGGTGGAGGCTGCAGCACCGGACATATGGAATAAAGGAGAATTGAGCCACCAAAGAGGTAAAGGCTCAGTTTTTTTAGAGGTTAATAGAGTCCCTTTGACAGGTCCTCTTTATGGAGAGATCTTGGATCAAAAAGACCCAAATCTCTCATTTACCTTTAAAAGCAAAAGCAAAAGATCAAAAGGCATTTTTTTTTTATCTTTTGCCTTAAAGAAGTTGACATCCGCCCCAGACCAGAAGTGATGTCTCAGGCAATTTGAGCAGATTTTGCATTTTACTGCCAGGTCCACCTAAAGTGAAGCTAATGTCTGCAAATACTTACCTCCCCATCAATGGTCCAACATCTGCAAGGTCCCTTGCTGGCACTGTCATCTTACGGGTGCTGGTCTTTGGCTGTCTTGACTACAGAATATCGGGGTGCCGTGACGA